GACACCTCCTAATAGTGCCATTCCCTTTGGGGGCTGTTTTCTTTCAAACCACCACAGCAGGGGACGTGACTCTTACTTCCTGTTTCCTCTGTGAGATGGAAAATTCCCAGTGACTCCTCTCCCTGGGGCACGTCTGGGTAACTGTTCGTAAAACTCACCTTGAAGCACTGAAGACTTCTGTTTTGGCCTCTGTGGGGACTAGCACACCGAGTGCCAGTGGAAGGAGGAGAGACAGGGATGTGGAAGGTGGGGAAGGAAGCCATCTTCGTGACACTTGAACCAGTATACCTCTTGCTAGGCATGATGCCAATGTTGAACATGACGTGCGATTTCGGTGGTTACCCACATGGGGGTACTAATCTACAAGCTCTCTGCTGAAAACCAATGCACCTCTGCTTCTACAGTATCTACTCATTACCCCATACCCTTACCTTCTGCCACAGCTGACTGGACCACAGATATTTAACCCTCACTGGTCTGATAAAATTATCTCTCCTAGGAAGGTAGAAATTGGGTTCAGATAGCTACATGGTAGATTCCTATTATGGCTTAAATGGATATGCTCTTCCAAAATTCAAAACTTGTAATTCGTATCAAATGTGATGGGATTAAGAAGGAGGGTCTTGGGGGATGGAGAGAAGGCTCAGTGGTTACAGCACTTGTTGCTCTTCCAGAGGACCTGGGTTTGACTTCCAGCATCCACATGATGGCTCACAGCTATCCACAACCTTAGTTCCAGGAAGTGACCCTCTTCTGACATCCTAGGACACCAGGCACACATGTGGTGCATGTACATACATGCAGACAAAACACTCATACACATTAAATAAACAAATGATCTAAAAAAATAGATTTTTTTTAATAAAGAGGAGCCTTTGAGAAGTGATTATATCGTGAGTGCTGCGTCTCCCTGAATTAAATTAGTAAGTCTTGCAGAAAGTTTTGTTTACCCTTCCATCTCTCCTGCCCTATGGGGATACAGCATGGATCCCTTCTTTTCTGTCTTCCACCCACCATGTAAAGACATAGCAAGAAGGCTCCAACTTGAACCCAGACAATGAACTCTCACCAGACAGAAAATCTACCTGGGTCTTCTTCTTGGACTTTCTAGGCTCCTGAATTGTGACAGGTGAATTTCTATTATCAATGAACTTGCCTGAGCTCAAGGATTTTGTAAAGCCACACAAACCAGAACAGCAAGGGGGAAGAGAGCGTAGAAACTAAGCTATGGTTACGCCAGCAAAGAAGAGAGCGACGCAGGCAAGCCTGTCCGTACACCGGGCACCATCCAAAGAATTTCACCTGTATGGACTCCATCCCACAACAGCCCTCCGAGGGTGGTTAGGTACTGTTATTCTCTTTGTTCCAACTTTACAAGAGAAAATTGGAGGAAAGAAGGATTTCAAATGCGCTCAAGGTCACGAGTGACTTAGGAGAGAGAGACAGAGAACCACAGACTCCGAAATAAGCCCTGGAGAAAGAGACGCAGAGCGAGCAGCCGCTTGCTCGTCTGTTAGCAGTGTCTGGTGTCCCGCCACGTGCCTCGCGTCCTTCCTTCGAGACACACCAAATCCCCCTGTCTCTAACAAATTCTCATTTTGCTCAAGTCAGCTTGACTGAGTTCTGCTCACTGCCTGCAAACAATCTCTGACTCAATACCCTGGAATAAGAAGAGGGAATCATTTTCCAGCAGGGGGCTGCTGGTTGCTGGAACTGTGTTACGTTAATCAGCTAGAGAAGTATGTGAGAGATGTTTTAATTTTGTTCCTTCTTGAATTCACACAGTAAACCAAGCAGGGGTCATGTAATTCCCTTCATAGCTGAGATTAAATTTCATACAAAAATACGATTTAGGAGAGAGGCTCCAATTTCCGCCCCGGTGGCCGGGGATGCACGCCATCATGGCTTTACTTCCACCTGTGAGAGAACTCTCTAGAGTGGAGGGAAATGCATCCTGATCTGTCAGAAGGAGATGGAGACGGTGCATTCTTCATTAGTCTTCATTTCTACTTCCCGGTTAATGTGTTTTTAATTACTGTGTGAGTTTTTCCATTGCTGCTTTACAAACGACAACACTCTGCAGCTTAAAAAGCTCAACAATCATTGCGTTCTTGCTCCTGGTTTCTGAGGAGGGCCAGGAATTTAGATAGGGCACAAAGACGGCGCATCTCCGTCCCACCATGTCCGGGACCTCAGCTAGAAAAAGGCCAAGTCTGAGCAGAGCTGGGCCTCGGTAGGGGTACCTCCCCTTGTGTACCTGGCTATTATGACTGGCTGCTGGCTGCACCTCCACCTGGGCTGCCATCCAGACCCTCCATGTGGCTTCTCCATGTGATTTCTCCGCATGACCCAGATTGTCCTTCCTCACAGGATTACTGCTGGGTTCCAAGAGCAAGATCCTCAGAGACAGCTGGGTAGAAGCTGTGCCTCTGGGTCTCGGAAATCCTACAGCATCCCTCTGCCAGAGCCACAAACACACCCACCTTTAAGAGGTGGGAACATAACTCTTACCTTTTGAGGGGAAAGATAGTAGTGAGAAATCATGTAGTGAGAAGTTGGGATTGGGTGGGTGTGATTGTCACAGATATCTTTGGAAAAGAAGCAGAGAGTCAAAAACAGCATGGCAAATGTTGACTTCTTAGAAAAAATAAGACCCGTGGAAGTCTCTAAGTGTCGTACATCTTTAAACTTTTAATCTAGTTAAGTCTTGAGTGGCCCAATGGAAATTTTCATCCATCGAAAGGAAGGGGGTACAGGAAAGGGAAGTGTGACTCCAGGCACATTCTGACGGGCAGAGACCCATGGCTGTGTAAAAATGACGGCGGCGGCCTGCAGAAGAAGGGACCTCCTGTCAGAGCAGGGTGGGAAATCTTCAGACTTACAGACTGAGGAAACCTTTCCAAAAGTTCAGAATAGATGCAGCCGTAGTGAAAAGCTCTCAACGGGAGTAGGTCTAAAATGGGCTGGTCCTAAAAATAAAACCCAGAACCTAAAATTGCAAATGATCCTGATGAGGAAGAAAAAAAAAAAAACCCGCTGATTATCATATATCTGAAGGGGAAACACACAACAACGGACGGAGGGGGACGTCATCAAGATGTGTCCAGAAATGTCACCAGCTTGAACAAACGAGTCTTTGCTATGCAGCCTGTGTCCGCCTTGAACTTCCATTATTCCCGCCTCTGCCTCAGGAGTGCTGAGCCGATAAAGAGGTGTCCTCGAGCCTGACGTCATCAACTTAAGGAAATCAGGGGGTCAGCAAGAGCCCAGAAAAAGTTGAGGTTTTTCAAAGGCTGGAAGAAAGGTAAAACTAAATAACTCAACAGACCCTTTTGACTCATTGTGAAAAAAACACGGGTCTGGGAGGGTGGCTTAGTGGGCGAAAGGCGTTGTGCGCATGCCTGATGACCCGAGTCTGCCGGCCAGAACCCAAACCAAGATGGGAACTCGTGCGGAGGTAGAGGAGGACCGTCTCCACAAAGCTGTCCTCCTCTACACATGTGCTGTGGCCTGTTCAAGCCCAACACGCAATAATAATAGAAAGCAAGGAAGAAAAGGAAGAAAGAAACGAACAGTGAGAGCGGAAGCCAATGTGGTCATCTCTACCGCAGGCTGTTCCTCCCCATTATGGATTTTCAGATTCGGAGGACCACTGCGCAAGGCTGAGTAGGACGGCCCAAGTGTAGTGAACAGTGCTTCCTGCCACCCGCAGAAGTGAGCCAGTGCGAATGCCAGACAAGATGGGACAGAGGGAGCCATGTCATCTGATGTATCCGGTGCAGAATTCAGATACAAGGAGTCCTTGCGTAAACAAGCAAGGCACGAGTGCTATCAGAGGCAGTGAAATAAAAAGGTTTGCTTTTCATTTCTCCTGCGGTCTCTGTGACTTCTCACTGTGTGTGTGTGTGTGTGTGTGTGTGTGTGTGTGTGTGTGTGTGTGTGTGTTGAATCTAGCATTTGCTGTTCTAAGTAAAGAGAAAAAAAGACCCTTGAATTGCTAACATGAACTCACCTTTTCTTCTGGTGTGCAATGACACTTCTAAATACAAATATTCAAAATGTGCTTTGCGTGCAGGATCACTAAAATGGCAATTCAGACATGCGGGTTTATTTTGTTCTCAGCAGAACAGGGGAGCCCAGCATGGAATGTATTCACTTGTTTTTATTTTACTTTTTTTGGGGAGGGGGCAGTTGAAAGCTGAAAGACCAGAGAAACAGAACAAGCCACAGCCAACCTCACCTCGCCAACTCCTCAGCTTTTCTTTTTCTTTTTGATACACGTATATCTGGGCAACATTCTCTAACCTCCTCCAACTCACCGCAAAGAAAGACAGAGAGAAAGCAACCCATTACCTCTCTGCTCCTTTCCTTCTGGTCCCAGCTCCAGGCAGAGTGACTGGCTCTTACTGGGAATCAGCCACAAGTAAGGAGGGACATGATAATGTCCCTTGGGCCACTTTTTCTTTCTTTCTTTCTTTCTTTCTTTCTTTCTTTCTTTCTTTCTTTCTTTCTTTCTTTCTTTCTCTTTCTTTCCTTCCTTCCTTCCTTCCTTCC